AAAGCTAAATTTAGAAGGAGCAGTGGAGCACTCGTTATTCTAACACGGACGTGAAAAGAAGCACTGTTCTCGGATATTATTTCTAGTAGTTAAATCTAGGAAAACTTCTTTGTTTATCACCTCAAGCTCACAAGGAATAGTGGATTGAACACGTGAAATATACTGGGGTAAATTGGAATCAAAAACAGCCTTTTCTTGTCATGGATTTGCCATTCGCCCGAGAAACAGTGATTTTCAATTTGTGTACAAAGCTAGCATGTCATGGAGAGCTTTGTAAGTTTGCAGGATGAATCTGACTAGCTATCTCACATTGTCAAGCTCAACTTTTGTGAAGTCTAGATAACAGGTCGTGCATGATTTATAACACCAACATCAGATCTCAAGGAGGTACTATGTCAGTTTGAATGTGAGATTGAACTAAATAACTACACAGTATGCTGTGGCAATCTCCTTTTCATAGTGGCAACTTCCGGACCTACCCATGTGTTGGGTGTAGCGTCTCTTCTGTAAGTTTGCCAAACAAACAAACACACAGCGGACTTTGGTACTCAATCTCTATAATCGATTTTGTAACTCCAAGCAGGACATAACTTCAGGTACGGTTACATCTGTGTGAACATATCCAAAGAATCACCACGAGATCAGCACTCTACGGACTTTGACCGCCTTCTCATAGGGATGCTTTCGGAATTTACTTCTCGACTCCACACCAACTATATTCCCTGGGATGGAGAGATCTCCCAGATCAAAGAGCTATTGATTAAATCACAGATAGAACTATTCACCCTTGAAAAGGAAATTCAACGAGTTCAAGGACTCTTGAACCATTTACTCTTGAAGCGCGACACACTCCAAGGAACGCTTAAGACTCATGAAGCACTCATATCGATTCCCCGTAGGTTGCCGTGGGATATTCTCCAAGAAATCTTCTTACACTGTCTCCCTACCGATACGAATGCGGTTATGGACTGCAAGGAAGCTCCACTTATCCTCGGGCGGATCTGCAGCAATTGGTGAACGATCGTCTATGCAACACCACAACTGTGGTCATCCATTCACATTTCCATGTTCAGCGACTACGACGTTCCATTAAATGTCGCCATGCATTATCCGCCATATAAGACGCTTTGTGAACAGATTGGGCTTTCTCGTTGCCAGGCTGTGCGAGACTGGCTAAACCGCGCAGGCAGTTGTCCCCTTAATATTTCATACTCGGGGACGTGTGGCAAGCCACATCATCGTATTTTGGAAATTTTATTCACGTTCTCTCGTCAGTGGAGAGATGTGTATTTTAATATGCCTGACGAAGACTGCCAAGAAGCTTTACGCTGTCTTTCCACTGACGCACCGATGCTTCGCTCATTTTCAATGATAGCGGCTCATGGTTTCTCTTGGCAGACCTCGATGCCTATGCCTTCAATCAAAGTCCCAGATATTCAGAGTCTTTCTTTCTTCCCAATCCCAAACATGACCATATTCAAATACTTAGCAGGAAACAGCTGGTCCCGACTTACACGGTTGTCGCTGAATTGTGACATTCCCGGAATGAGCGCTTCCCTAAAATTATCTACTACACTATCAGTACTCAGAAACTGCCCACTGATAACGTATTTCTGGTTAACAATAGGTTATTCTGAACCGGATGGGCACAGCAAGATAGGCCGATCAGTAACGCTCCCACATTTAAGGTCTATGACTATCAGTACTGTTGTCGACGTTCAAGAATTCCTCAATTGCCTGATTCTTCCGTCATTATCGAGCTTAGCAATCCAGGTTGAGAGAATGAATGGATCAATAGAAAGTGAAAATCCATTGCAGCTCTCTATGGTTCCGTTCCTTTCACGTATAGGAAAGCAGATTACATCGTTCACGATCGACTGCGACAGCTCTCAAACAGGTTTACGTCGATTCATGCTATGCATGCCTTTGGTTAAAAATGTCTATTTAGTCGATTTTTTTTGGTTTGCACTACCTTTTCATGTCGCTCAGGAAGATAAGAAAGGGGCCAATGGCCTCCTCAATGATAAGACCTTAATGATATTAACACCATCCAAAGATGTCCCCAAGACCTCGATTTGGCCGAACCTGGAGACAATCGAATGCGATGTCGACGCTATGGTCTCCGTGGAGCGAGTCTTGGATTTCTTAGAGGCAAGGAATGGAAAAGCAGATGCGGGGATAGCACAAATAAAGCGAGTCAAACTAACTATTAAAACCTTGGTACCACGCAAGGAAGGTGATGAAGCTCATTGTGGATCCAGGATTGCAAAGCTGCGCGAGGATGGAGTAGAGCTGGATGTTTCTTGGGTGACAGTCGGTGAAATTTGCGGTCTGTCTGCTTGGCATGGAATCGAGAAGACAAGACATCGGGAATGGTAGACCATTACTACGTGAGCAATATGTTTATGTATGTCATTCAACAGCCCAGGCATACAACATTTGTAGAAAGAACTATGGCACCTTAAAGAGACGGTGAAAGTCATCAGGTAGAATTAAGCAGTCTAAACATAGAAACCCAACGACTCGGAATCCAAGAGACGAACAATTTTCATTAAGCATTAATGTCTAAAGCGCATCTAGTACTTGCCTAGTATTAGATACTAGAAGTCTAGAACCTCTTGTAAAGTCCATTTTTTGGACATAAGTACATTTGTTCTTCCCTGTTGCCGCATCAAAATCCCCTCCTTGACTAGAGGGACTCTGAGCCACCCGCATGGACTAATGGCCTTCGCGATACTCTGCAGAGACAGTTTTCGCAGAGCTACAATGAACGATAAGGATCTCTTTATCCCATCCAGTAGAATCTAAGATATGGCCTATTTTACTTATCGATAGTAGCATACCAGGTAAATAAAATGTCGTTTTATATATTATTAGTCCTATCTCCTCAAGGGTTAACTTTTACCACAACCTTCTCTCCGCTGACTTTATTGTTTCTCAGTAAGTCTAACCCGGCGGCAACGCGCTCCTTGAAAGAGCCCTTATCCATAAGACGTACGCGGTTGGGCTCGATTGCTCCAACTGCAAGCAACTGCGGAAGAATCTTTGGCATGAGATTCTGTTTCAGATTTTCATCCTATGATGCCCATCGATGATTAGATGTTCATTAAAAAATAAATGAATGATAAATGCGCACCTCATGGTAGAGGAAAGTCCTGACTCCTACAATCTTAAGCTCTTTTGGGAACGGGTTCATACTGTCTGGAATTGAGAAATGCATCTCCTCTTCTATGTTACCAGTTACATTACTTCCCTCTTTGATCGGAAGAAGAACTGCGAGCGTTCCAAGTGGGCTGATGACCTTCGCAATATTCTCTAGAGTGGGTTTTGCGGCGATACAGTCGACAACAAGAAGCAGTTTCTCTCCTCCAGCGGCTGATAAGATATCTTTCGAGAGACTTGAGCTGTTATAGTCGAAGGCGTGCGTAGCTCCCAAGCTACGAAGATATTCATGATTCCTCGATGAAGCCGTTACAATTATTTTCTTGTATCCCGCGATATGGAGGAGCTGTACTGCGTAGATACCAGCTGTGGAACCTGCCCCATAGATCAAAATGGGAGTGTTAGCCAGGGGAGGCGGTTGCTTAGCAGGAAATGATGATGGGATGGGAAGGGATAGCTGATTGAATAAAGTATAAAATGCGGTGACAAAATTGTCAGGTATGGTAGACGCCGTTTCGAGTGAGACGCTACCCGGAATCTATATGACGTTTCTCAATTGCCCTGCAAAAATGCGTTAAAATTGTTTCCTACCTTCGCGCACACTGTTCGAGGCTCGACGACATATTCTTGCATAGCCTTGTTACGTGAATTTCCATAGGCAAATGCGGTGACCTGAACAAGGTATTAAAACTAGTTCCAAATGAAATAAGCCTTAATGCACCCTGTCTCCGACCTTCAAGTCCTCAACACCTGTGCCCACTTTCTCCACTGTTCCAGCAGCACCGAAACCAAGAACCATAGGATACTCCTGGACGGCATACCCACGGTCCGTTACATAGCCATCGAATGGAATCATCGCTGCATATTCGACTTTCAATAAAACCTCACCCTCAGCAGGGCTTTCGGTAGGCACTTGAATGGCATTGAGCTGGCCTTTGGCTGTTGTAGCAATAGCGGTATGTGTGGACATCGTAGGAAGGCGTCAGATGGTGTGTTCAGATAGTATGCGAATACACGACGTCATTGGTCCAGTCGTCTTATAACTGGACACGGAACGGAATATTTAGCAGCTGGCAGAAGGTAGATCATAGATGACGGCTTACTCATGGTACTCCCATCCCTTGGCTGCTTATTCACTGGGAGATCTTTACCTGGAACAGTCAGTGTTAGTAAGAATGTTCGCTCGCTGATTAGGTGACCGTCGATGGTGAAAGCAGACACAAGGAACAACGGAGATGACGGAGATTAGTCCCAATTAACCCGTGATGAGAGACAGAACTAGTTCCGAACTGCGACATTTAGTCGAGTTTACTTAAGTCCAATGTAAAAATCTAACACCTCTAGAGGAAATGGTATCTGGCAATCACGCCGGCTGGCGTATCTAGATCGTACCCGCTGGTAACAGCCTGCTCGCCCCATAGAGTGGAGTCGTTAGGTTAATATTACCCACGTGTTGAAATAAAAACCCGGCAAATAATGAGTTATTTATACTGCCTCCCGACACTTACACACTCTAATACTTGCTCATGTATGTTAGAGATTCTTTGTATATGGTACAACAATTACCTCCTTCCCCTCATCTATTCGTGTTCGACCACTCCTCATACTTAAATTTGGTTTTCAGTAGCTACTAAATACGCTGCTTATTCTCGCATCACGCCGATGGGCGACGTGACACTTTAATTTCCCTATCACCTACTAAAGCTCACTGCATCATAACGTCCAAGGCTAAGAGATCAGTGGAATCTCAAAATGAGTTCTTATAATACCCTGGGCACAGGCCATGGGGTACTGGGGTCTTATAGTACCACTGAACAAAAATAGTGTAACAAAACAACTGACCCCCACCCGAGTCGAACGGATGACCTTGTGGAAGTTCCACAGCACAGTGTGACGCTTCATGAAAAGCATCACATTATGCTGTGACTGGAATCACACGCTCTAATCCACTGAGCTAGGGGGCCGATGAATTGAGGTGAGAACTAGAAGATTAGTATGTAATCAGAAAGATTTACTGAAATTCGAAAGCAAGAGTTGAGCAGACGAAAAAAAAATAGGAGGATCAGTTGATTAGGCAAGTGAAGGACCATACTGGGTTAGTGATATTATGCTCATTTCGGTTTTGTGGAGCACGAACTGTCATCAGAGCGCGACGAAACTAATAAATGACAACAACGCGTCGTTAAGCGCGAGTTCGTCAAACTACATAGCTGCGCCAATAAATTATTATCTAAAGGCAATGTCCATAGCTGCCTCTATCTTAGAGTAGTAATAGTTTACAAGGATGAAAATGAGAAAGGGGAATAAAGGAGAAAGGCTTTACGAAAGAAGTGTACTAGTATCGGAATGGTAGTGTTGAAGGGAGCGGGGGGAGGCAAGAGGAGGAAAAGGGTCCATGGGGATATGTAGATCCAAGTTGAGTAATGTAAGAATTGAAATAGAAAGGTGATTCCCTGATACCATGGTCCGGGTGTCCCAAATTATCACCACCACCACCACCACCACCACCAGCCAATACGAGCGATGCTCACCGGGTACCATCTATTACCGCACACGCTCCTTCCCTCACACGCCGTACCACATCGCTGGGACATCTACATGATCACGCAGTCCTTGTCCTTTCCTCCTTTTCCGTTCGCATCGGAGTCACTATTCCTATGTAGGACGGCACCGGGGCCACCGGGTTGATGCATTGGTTGGCTTTGGGATCCCTTCAGCCGCTGCGCTGCACGCTTGTCGCCCAGCTCAGCGGCGCGTTTGTAGAAAGTGATTGCCCTGGGATAAGGCGAAAGGAAGGAGGGGAAGAAGCGGGAGTGTCAATTAGCATGCAGTGCAAATGCACGAGGGGTGAGAGGAAGAACGCACTCTTGCATATTAGCCACAGTCCCGATCCCTACTTCCAAAAAGTATCCAACAGCATACATAGCCTTCGCTAACCCACCTTCTGCCGCCTTTTGCGCCCACAGGAAGGCTTCCGTGTCAGATTGAGGTAGTACGCCAGGTGACCCAACGAGGTACCATGCTGTTAGAGCAAAACAGGCGTCGCGATGGTTCTGCTGGGCAGCGATATTCTGAAATCAGAGTTGTGAGTCCCGGAAGGTAGTATAAGAGTAAAGATACAGAACGTACGTAGTAGTGAATCGACAGTGCCGGATCCTGGGGACATCCCATTTTGCCATACTCATAACACTCGCCCAATCGATACGCACTCGGTGCATACCCCAGTTCCGCTGCTTGCGCCAACAATTCCGTCGAGTACTCGTAATCCACGAACAGCACATTATCAATACCGCGCTCGTGCAACAGCGCCAGCTCATGTAATGCATGCGGGAACTCTGCAGTCGCGTGTTCGGCACTCCTCTTGAGCCATTTGACACCCTCCTTCGGACTTTTAGACAGCCCTAGCTCGCCATTCAACTCAGCGATGCCTAGCCGGTACATCGCGCCAGGGTGTAACGAGGCCGCTGCCTTGCGGAAGAACTGCAACGCCTTTGCAGACTCACGTCTGCATCCCCATCCGTTCTCGCAGCAGGTCCCAGCACGGTATGCAGCGTCTGGATGGCCGTGCTTGGCGGCGAGCACGAAGAGAGGATATGCACGGTCAAAGTCTTGTTTTGATTTCGGAGTGCCGATACCGTTCGCATAGCAGTCGGCAAGGAAGTACTGGCTCGCTGCATGTCCTCTGTCCGCGAGGCGTTTCAGTAATGAGATACCCTCGCGTACGATTTCATCCCGCTTCTCCAACGCCTTTTCGACTTCCATGACATTCGCATTGGTTGGCTGGGGGATCGGTAGTGATTTACTGGCATCGAGTAAGAAGACGGCGAACTCGAACTGGAGTTCAGGGTCTTGAGTCTTCTTTGCGTTGGCACGGTAGAGTTCGAGGGTCTGTTCATGAGACAGGAGAGCGGCTTGTTTTCCAGGACGGAGGTGTGAGTGATCGAGGATCGGGCCTTGAGGCGGGGGTGAGGGTGCGCGAATGGAATGAGTGGCAATGGAGCTGGAGTTCTGGTAAGGGGGGAAGTTGTCGGATGCAGCAGACGCTGGGTTGTATGAGGAACGAGCCTGGCGCGGCTGGCCATTCATAGGTGGGTTGGGAGAGTTGCCGCCGTTGAAGAAGTCGTCATTGTCGTCCTCCGGATCTGGCGGGGTATGGTCATCGTAGTCCTCGTGGTCTGGCCCATAGTTGTTTTGGGTCTGCTGCTGATATTGGGATGATGGACGGGCTGTCTCTCTGCTTGGACGTGCTCGAGGAGGGGTGACTGAGTACTGGGACTCGCGGTTGGTAGGCTGTGGAGGGGCGAACTCGCGCGACGATGAGTGACGTGGCCTGGCGTACTGCTGCTGGTCGAAGGCGGAGGAAGGCAGTTGCTGCTGCTGGACGTAGGCCATGGTGGGCGCGGTGGAAGAGAGCAGAGCAAAGCCAGATGATGGTCGCAACAAGTCCGCTGCTAATCCGCTGCCGAAAATGTCTTTACTCACACATGTCACGCTCTCTATTTTTCCGGGCCTGTCCATGCCGAGCAATTACGCCTCCAGTTACAGGCTATTTCTACGCGCTACGATGACATGTTTTTGCTGTAAATACATCATACATTCCCTACTAACCTCCAGTTCTTGGGGCATAGCGCTCACGAATACCCAACGCCGTTGCAGCCATCATTCTGGCCATGTGCTCTCCCCTGCATGACGAAACCAAGCCCCTCACGGAAATCAACCAAAATTACTTCAAGGCCACAGCACAACATCTCCAAATACTGCCCCTTCTTCTTCCCAACGCCCTCATCTCCAGATCCTTAACTGCGGCTCTTGCTTTCACGATTTGAACCCAGGGTGCTCCTCTCTGCGTACTTCCACTGCCACCACTATCTAGCAGCGCGAAGACTGTTCATGTACATGCGGCAGCGGCTTACTCATAAACAGGAGGAGCGACGTCGTATGCCACGATTGACTGCCATTTCACAGGAAGCTCTCATTTGACCGCCCCAATATGTTGATCCTCCCTTGCCACGTCTTCTCTACGACGTCTATTTTCATCGTTGCCCCTTCTTGTATTCGCATATTGGTTCTCGGGCCGTGTTCGAACGCTGCCATCAAATCACCTCTCAACGTTATAATGACTTCTTCGGCTTCAATACATACGTTCAATGTCGTTATGAAGGACGGCTTGAGCAAGTGTCAGTTTCTTCGCAACATATGTCGTATACCCTTCATTTTCAAATAAACTGGCCGAATTTCAATACGGTCTCCCTTCTAACGAGGCTCGGCTGCCCTTCGCTCCTCCTATACAGTATTTGGGTGACTCTGTGACTGCATTCGAAAAGTGCTTACAGCACTTTTGTGGCTCCTCTAACCATATCAAACGGATAATCAATATTGCCATCTCTTCGACCTCAATGAATGTCACTTACTATATCTGACATTTCGTCGAACAATCAGCCGGCTCCTTCTCAATTGGCCATAGCCCTACACAGTGCTGGAGAATACTTAGCTGATCAGGACTTAATACACAGACGCTACGGAGCCGCTCCAACTCCTGATCGTGCTGGCTCTGGGCTGCATTTCTAAAATGTTTGTAGTACGCGCCTCACAATGCTCACAGGCCCTGAACCATAGGCACTCTCGTGAGATCACTCCCCTGAAATAGACGATTATATACAAACACGCACGCAAAAACAACTCCAGCTCACGGATTTTATCTACGTACACAAAGATCTACAAAATGTCGCATTGGTTGAGTTGATTGGGTAAGAGACGGATAATCTTATTGATTCGCTCGTGGATGTCTTCAGACTGCTATCATTAGTTAAAATGTATAGCTTTGGTGATGGTATCAAGTACTCATCGCTTGCCTTATTCGACATATCGTCGACATCTCTCCGTGCTGCTCCTTTGGTTAATTCAGAGTCTCCTCCGTGTATTGTCCTCTACTACCTTACATGCATCGGCAATTAGCGTGCAGACTTCGTTGGTGGAGCTTTTCAAATGTAGAGCACAGTATATCTGAGCACCACTTTCGCTGTTATAGTGCGCTGCTGAAGGCTTGGAGCGGACGTCTTTCGTAATTTCGAATGCCACATTGAGAGGACTTTTGCTAAGTTCAGTCACACTGGGAGACTAGTTCCTCGCGCTTCACTATCATATCCCCGTCTTATATTGCATATGTACTTATTGCTTTTATACTTCGAGGAGCTCTGCATTGAAGACGGCTGTTAATGGCTATTAGTACATTACATTTGAATTAGCCACATAAATAACTGATTACGTCGCGGACCAGAGAATTGAACATATATACTCATTGAGTCCTTCTATACATGTATTTAACTTAGTAATACTGTAAGAGAACACGCACACGCATCGTATATATAGCACTTCTACTAAATGCGTTAGCGCGAAGTGATAGGCATATAAGGACAAATAGCACGACTATTTTTATTGAGCGCCGACGTTCAGTGCACTGCCGCGACCTCTGACGACTATTCCATAAGCCTTCCTCAAACTTTCTTTCTCCTCTTATACATATCGGATTCAAGAACCCACAAATACTACGTGCCTAATACATGTCCTTCTAAATTCACTATTGGAATAAGTAAAGCTCAGTCAGCGTAGAACGGACTATATATATTTGTTTAGTAGTAAGTACCTATTGGAATAAGTAAAGCTATGATAACAATGTCAGTAAAGTATCAATGCAATATAAAAAGATAGTACAGACCTCAGTCAGCGTAGAACGGACTGAGGTACTCGAGGCTAAACTACGAGACTATAAGTACATTGCTACTCAATAGAATGACAAACTACGAGCTAAAGAATACAACTAAAAGATGGTGGCATAAGATGGGGCCGTAAATATGTACAGTAAAAATCAGCCACTAAGATTACAGTCAGTCATCAGTTCAATATAACGCGTCATAGCGCGTAACAAGGTTTGTATTCCAACATTCACGTCCTGGCATCACCAAAC